TGAGTCTCTGATTTTTCTCAGTTTCGATCTTTTGGCTAGGATGAAATCAATTTGTGATGCTATCTTTAGATCATTGCATTTGTACTAAGTTTTAACTTGACTCCTTTTGTGTTGGAAGAAGGTGTTTGATATGACGAGCTCATGTTCTGCACACAATTGTAATAGCATTTCTCCATTGCTGTTTTGATCTGTTTCCCTGTCACTGTGTGGCTGTATGAATCTCTCCCATGTCGTCTTCCTTGTTTCCACTCTGCCGTTCAAGTCCCCCATCATTGTCACATTATCTTTGTCATCCACGGTCTTTAAAAGGTCACTCAGTTGATCATAGAACTGGTGTCGCTGTTCTTCGGGATATGAGTCATTGCATGGTATATATATATATATGTGTGTATGTATTTGATGACACTCAGTAATTGTCATATTCTATGGTGATTTCCCACATTACACCATACTCGTTGAATTTTTTTCATATTCTTCAAGTCTGTGTTATGCTTGGGTTTAACGGCATTTGCAACACAAATAGGTCATATAAGCCCCGAAGATTAGAGGTGTTACAAGAGAGTAACATACACAGAAAAGAACGAGGAGAAATAAGGACAGTTGATTGTTAATAGGAATAAACCACACCCCAGAGCACCCGCCAACCTCCTGCTTGAGTTATGCATGTAAGATTGAAACTGCTTTCAATTTTAATCCTTTTTCCCCAATAACAAGTTACAGAACTCTTTAAAACAAAATGAGTGATGTTTTTCGTTTGAAAATCGGACCATTATTATGGAAAGTGTGCCTGTTTCTTCTTTGTGATAATAGGTATAAGACTCCTGATGTCACGATTATGACGTAATTAAACGGTAAATAGAATTTTACTCTTAATGTACTAGACTTCTATTTTTATATATTGATTCTACATAAAACAGCAAACAAAATGATACCTCAATGGTCACGATACAACAATTATTAAGGATTTTATGACGTTGTGAAGCAAAATTTCGAGTTTTGGTGGCACAAAATGCAGTGCAAAAATTTGGCCAAATCAGGGCGAAAATTGATTCACAAAAACGGTCGCTGCTTCGAAACTAACAAAGATAGCACAAAAAAGCTCTGAAAACAGAAAGCCAAGCTCTTTTCACTAATCCAATTTTAGTGCCCTCGGAGAAGTTTGAAAATTTCACTGAAGTGCCTACCAATGGTATATCAAGGATTTTGCTTGGTGAAACCGGAGAAATTTTGACAAAAAAGCCGAAAGATTTTATGTAATCGATGCCGAGAATCCACCGTAACTGACGTTACCAGTTCGGTCATCATGTCTTGATTTTTTGGTTGGATTGTGGAAGCACTAAATGAAATTATTCCAAAACAATGTTGTGTGCTTTTGATGAGTATTTTTTTATTCATTGATGAACATAAAAGGTGTTAACTAAAATAAAAAAGACAATCCATAAATATTTACCCTTCGGATGTAAACATGTCTATTTCTTTGATTTCGTTATTTTGACGAGCGCCTGATTTCACCACAATGCATGCAACTCGTATGGAAAAAGGCGAATAGGAAAACCTTCCATTCTACAATCACGGTGAGACAGGGGGTTTCAATCCTCGTATTGCCACAGCCACAGTGATGCCACATACTCTATATATATCAAAATATTATTAAAATTCCTTCTGAGATACTCAATTACGTATCTTTGAAATGATTATATATCGTAAGTGATGTGTTTAGTATGATTTTTAGCCTTGAAATCTATTTCGCTGTGTCACCCAAAACGACTCGACTCTTCCCGACAAAAGCTGGGTGGGTTTGAAATGCTAAAACACATAATTTCTTCTTTTAAGTTTCGATGAAAAATTTAATTCTATGTTTGTAATCAACGCCTCAAACTTAGCAGAGTCAGACCGTAAACCACTGTTGTATATATATTATTATTATTATTATTATTATTATTATTATTATTATTATTATTATTATCATCATCATCATCATCATCATTATTATTATTATTATTATATTAGATTATCATTATTATTATTATTAACAATTTTACTATTGTAAAAAATTGGCTCTCTCAAGCTCTGTTATTCCTGCCTTGCGTTCCTGAACATTCGACCAGTTCATGCTTGCCGGAAACGAACAGACCGAATTTGTTTCCTCCAGACAAAAAATGGGAACATTTCTGTGTTGGTGGACACTTGGCCTTCATTGCTGCATGCGGCATTCCAAGCGATCCATCTTTTGTCAGGAGGTGTCGGGTCGTTTGAGGGGACACATCCAAACGGAATTATCACGGATTGCTAAGGTAAAAAACCGATTGTCTGTTTCAACTATCGACTTGCAGAGAGATGGACGACTTTTGGTCGGTTGGTTTCTGGTTTGGTGGACAAGCAGGATTATCCTACACAAAACGTATTACGCCTCCACGGAATCGGTCTATGAGGTCTATGAGGCTACCCATGGTGCACCGGTCCATAAGTAATCCCTGGGGTCCGAGGCTTTAGTATATATATAAAGAAGTTCTAGGAGAAAAAATGGGAACGTCCCTGTGTTTCAGAATCTCAATTTATACGTAGGTATAGGCATTCATTATTTTTCAATTATTTAAAAACATTAATTTTAAGATTTTGGAAAAGTCGTTTTCACCCTTCAAACCGACTTTCGGTATAAAAGGGGGGGGGGGC